CAGATATGAAAGCATCACGCACAACATGCAATGATACGTTATTTCCCCTGATCCTTGAAACTGGCTGCGAGATGCAGATGGAGATGGAACCATTGGACTGAGCAAAGACGATCACAACATGTTTGGGGAAGAGATCCGGAAAATGCGGATTGTGGTATCTTAGACCTTAGTTATTGATACCCCAGAAGAGTTAACGTGCAGACTCACGCGGGATAGGATTATACTCTGGAGTATCTCTTTCTGCAAGATAACAAAGAACAAAACGCCTGTTCGTGGACTATTTTATTTGTTGACCGCCGAAGATCTTCAAAGTAGATCGATGGAATGGAATCCCGAGTAAGATTGCTTGCTCGCTCGGACTTATCCGATATGGATTGGATCTACACGTGATTTTAGATGGGATACGTACCTACTTGTTCGGCATTTCTATTGTTTCTAGTCCCAGGGGTTTGAGAGAAAGAGGTTTGTCTTTGGCTTGCTGAAGATACTACCTTGGTACTTAACTAGGTAGTAGATCTGACTCGTGGTGTCTGATTTGTCTGATTTGTCTGATTTGTCTAATTATGGTCCGTGACCTTCTCCACAAACATTTCGTGCATCTTCACAAGAAATCTCCGTTCGCTCAGACGCTTTTACGAACACTTTAAAAATACGTCGTGAAATCCAAACTGAATGTAATTGTTCGTTTTGCTTCATTCTTGTACCTTGTTGTACGTCGCTTTCCCCTCATTCTTTGGCTCAGTGTGCTTGCTCGTTGAACTAGTAGCTCTTATCGCCAATATCTACAACGTTACTTTATCCGCTACTCAATAATGACACTGGAGAAACATGCAGCTACAAGTATACTAGGTTCATATACTTGACCTAACACGTATAGGGAAGCTCATATAGCCGGCGCATATGATCAACATTGCTCTAGAACAACTATCATCATACTATCAAATTCCCCGCATAAAATGCGCTTATCCGAGAGTCAAATGCCAATGGAGGCCTTCGACATGACTTAACGTTGGTGCATGTGCGTCTACTATCACGCAGAACACGCCAAAAACAATTCGGTAGGGGAAGAAATCAATGCACATATTCAATATATATTCAAGATTTTTCTGGCCGGTGACAGGATCTTCGGGACTTGAGCTTTTTGGTGTTCAATCCGAGTGTTCCTTGCAGATTTATCCTCATGTGAACCATTAGGTTCATGGAGTTACAAATTTTGTACTCCTACGTTGTGTGATCTGCTATATTTAAGAAAACGTTGAAATCCCTCAAGTTTACACTTTCTTTTCTATCTAGATTCTTCTAGTCTTCCTCTCTAGACTCAGATCTCCTCGAGGCACCCGAGTAGTAGCTCGCTGGATTCACTATTCCGTTACCCCTCTTTGTCATCATCATTGAGATTCCATAGTGATTCACCAATTCCCTTGAAGACTAGTGTTGCAGGTAATTTCGTTTGGATCCATTTGAACCTTCGTTCCACATAGCCTCCTCCTGCTCTGTCTTTCTGCCAAACTCGAGTTTCAATTCCAGAATTCCTATAAAGACAAGCAATTCGTTCGTTTACCTCATCTTCTTTGCAAATATTGCAACGTAAGGTAAGCTGCCAAAAGCAAATAACCCTATGGAATGCTAATCTCAAATAGGTTCGTAACTTCCCATAGATAGTTCTTGGGTTTAATATTACAATGCGTTTTATTTCTACAACCGCGCCTGCGTTGGCATCTCTATGCCTAACTACTTTGGCTATACCTCATGGTCCTCAGTCTGAAAAAAGACAAATCTATGGCAGCTCAGCAAAATCTGCTGCAGATCGACAGGCTGCTGTCAAAGAGGCATTCTCGTTTGCTTGGGATGGATATTACAAATACGCCTTCCCTCATGACGAGCTTCATCCAATTGCGAACAGTTACTCAGATTCAAGGTATAGCAATCAAAACCATGCATCACGATACCTGAGCTAACTTGCAAAAAGAAATGGATGGGGAGCCTCTGCTGTCGATGCATTCAGCACGGCAATCATCATGGAGATTCCGGAAATTGTAGACGTGATTTTAGATTGGATCCCAACCATCAATTTCGACGAAACTAGTTCACAAGTTTCACTGTTTGAGACTACTATCAGATACGTTGGTGGGCTACTTGCTGGTAAAGTTCTCCGATATCTATCTAGAGAGCCCATTTATCTTACATGTTTTAGGTTACGATCTCCTTAAAGGACCCTTTTCCGACCTCAATTCTAATGACACGGCCGTCGATGAGGTTCTCGCTCAGGCAGCACGCCTAGCTGACAATATGGCATTTGCATTTGATACACCTTCAGGAGTACCAGCCAACAATCTTTATTTCAATCCTCCAAGCACCGATGGTTCTACCACAAACGGAATCGCAACAATCGGCTCACTAGTTCTTGAGTGGACCCATTTGTCTGATCTGACCGGTAACGACACTTATGCTAAACTCTCACAAAAGGGAGAATCGTATCTCTTGGACCCAAAACCCGAGTACAACTCGCCATGGCCTGGTATGCATCAACCCAGTCTTTTATCATCCCACTCCATCTGAGATCACTCTGACTTCATGTCTCATTCGATCTTTTCAATCAATTTGTTCTTTTTATGGCCCCCAATCTAACACTGATTCGCCTCTTCCACTTATATCTCTCATCTTGGAGGCAATAACTGACCAGTAATGCTATAGGTTTGCTCGGTACAAATGTGGATATCAACACAGGACTTTTCCAAGATGCAAGCGGAGGTTGGGTAGGTGGCGATGACAGTTTCTACGAGTATCTCATCAAGATGTACGTGTATGACTCAACTAGATTCGGCAAGTACAAGGAAAGATGGGTCGCAGCTGCAGATTCATCCATCAAACATTTGGCTAGTCACCCCTCGACTCGTCCAGATTTAACCTTTATGGCCGCTTACCAAAACAAAACACGTGTTTTTGTTTCCGAGCATCGTAAGTGCACTATCATCAATGGACTTCAAGTTAATCAAACCACAATACTGATATAAAAGCACAGTTGCTTGTTTCGACGGAGGCAATTTCCTCCTCGCGGGTCTCGTACTCAAGGAGCAAAAGTACATTGATTTCGGACTCGAGCTCGTCAACGGCTGTGAAGATACATACGCCAGCACACTCACCGGTATCGGACCCGAAGTTTTCCAATGGGTAGAGAGCAACACTTCTGCCAATGATACCCGAAACCCTCCACCACCTGCCGACCAACTCGCCTTCTATGAGAAAGCTGGTTTCTACATCACCAATTCAGATTATATCCTAAGACCCGAAGTCCTTGAATCTTTCTACTATGCTTATCGTTTAACTGGAGATGAGAAGTATCGTGAGTGGAGTTGGAATGGATTTGTTGCTATTAATGCGACGGCGAGGTATGCCTTCATTTGTCCCTATAACTTTTGGGAAGTTTGACAACTGACTTTGTAACCACAGAACTGGTAGTGGATTTGCTGAACTCCAAAATGTCAACGCGGCGAACGGAGGCGGTTTCAGTGATTTCCAGGACAGTTTCTTGTTTGCGGAGGTTTTGAAATATGCATATTTGATTCATGGAGATGTAAGCTTCTCTTCCTTATTCCTTCCCTCTTGCCTATCTACTCCATCCTTCTACCGCCCAACTCAGGACTTTAGACCCACTCACACTCTTCAAACAGGACGCAGAATACCAAGTCGGAAGCGGTGGAGTCAACCAATGGGTCTTCAACACCGAAGCTCACCCCTTCAAAGTCGCTGGTCCTCCCATCTAATTGACTGATTGAAATTTCTGGATTTGGATTCGGCTTCGGAGTTTACACGGATTACAGAAGAGTTTCTCTTCTTTGGGTATTCAATTCTAGGCACGCTAGCAATCTAGCTCCTCTTCTTTGGCAATGAGCTATCAAGCCATGCCATTTTCTACATTTAGCTTAGTTCATTGGCGGAATGTAAGTTTTTTATCAACTTTTTGATTCAATGTGAGGATTTAGATGAAGTTCTTCGATTCCCTGTGCTTGTTTGTTCTCTTGAGAGAGAAGAAGCTTTTTGATTCTTTGGCTTTTGTATTTGCATGCATACATACGTACATATTATTTACTCCAAGAATCAAACCACGAAATGCAATAACCTCAAGCAATTGCACACGCTTCTAGTCCCACAAAATCTTTCTCGGAAATTGTAGAAATCGCTATCATTACAAAAACATCTACCCGCCCAATCCTTCTTCACAAGAAACTTTTATAAAGGATTCTACCCTATCAATACCTACCCACAACACTTTACTACCTAGACAACCATTTCACACATCCCGATTTCCCAGTCCCGATCTAGCATCTTAGATACATCCCAAAGTACCTATTCATCTGATCTAATCAACAACAAGATTCATGTATATCCTCAGACACAAACACGGATGAACCGATAAGGTGTCCATCTATCTCATAGACCACCTTTCTTTACTCGGTCAAGTTTCCCCACAGCTTCTTCCCAGTAAAAGAAGAGAGGTAACGCATATCAAATACTCAATCAATCAATCAATTAATCCATCTGACTTTACGGAATGCCTAGTAACAAATTGTCAAATTACTTCGCACACGTTTAGAACTTGAGGGTTTAATGCGCGAATGGAAGAAGGCTAGCATGGCCAAGAGGTCTGGATAGGTATTGATGCGTTTATTGTGTTTGATGGGACTGGTAGTGGGTTTGGGGAATGTAGGTATTTATTGGTCATATTTTAGAGACTGGAGTGAGTGAATATGGATGAAAAGTGAGGAATGGCTATATGATTCTGCGGAAAAGAGTGAGAGAGGCGGTGTTGAAAAGCTGCGATATGTTCAACGCTGGTGAGTTGGTGGTTCTTTGAAGAGTGTGGTAGAGTGGTGGTTATGCACTCACGGGTGAGAAGTCGGAGGATGCAGCGTTGAGCAGTATTTTTAGTTGTTTATCTTCATCTAATATACAAATATTGTGAAAACGAAGAAATGTATTTTGTCTGCGACTGGTTTTGATTAAGCCTTTCGTTTCAACAGCCCCTTCAAGAAATCAAAGCTATTGCTATCACTCTGCAACTCCCAAACCTTTCCTGTAGGTCTATCTTCCCAGCCCAATTCTTCCGCACGTAACAATCCCCAATCCGTAGTGATACCCCTAATGATAGCCCTTGCACCACCTTCTGTCTCCAAGGTAACTATTTGATCCGTATGCAACCAGTGTCTATAATACACTTCCTCCAGTTTTTTATCAAAGCCATTTCTACAGAAGGTTTTATAGATGGTTTCAAATTTCGTGAGGAAGCGAGCAAGAAGTTTTTCGAGAGAGAAAGGTGTGAGATGTGATGGTAAGAGAGCGTTAAGTGATGTTGTTGGCGCTGCGTTTGTGGTATTGAGACCTATACCTACGACCAGATCATAGTTTCCAGATGAATATGAAGAATTAACTAGAATGCCCCCAACTTTGACATATTCCTTTTTTCCGGGTTTAGATGGATCTTGGACATCTGTAATTGTTAGAACGGGCTTTGAGAGATGAAGAAACAAACGTACAGATATCGTTGGGCCACTTGAGTTTAATTGGTACTGTGTCATAGCCTTTATCATATGAATGAATGGCTTCAACAATAGCTATTGCTGCTAGATACTGTACGAAGACAACTGGCGCTTTGTGTCCAAGTTCCATGGGATGTTTCATGCAAACAGACCAGATCAAGCACCCTAGAGGAGAAACCCAAACATTGGAACCACGGCCACGTCCGGCAACTTGTGTTGTAGCTGTAAAAGTGAAACCTGTAGGAAGCCTAGAAAGAAGCTTCGAGTTCCTAGGGTACATTAGGAAGGATTCAATCCGAACGAGGAATAGGGGCCTCACTTTTCCAACATCGTGTTGGTACTAGTAACCACCTCTCCATATAGAAGCGTATTTCCAAATTCTTCGGCCTCGCTGGATTTTTCTTGCTGATAGAGTCGCAAATTGGAGTAAAATGCATGGTGATTGAAATATGGTGTTTCCTTTGTGCCTGGCCATTCCGTCTCATGGAGAATGACTCGTTTGGGAATAGCATTGTAATCAATGATCCCATCATCTGCTCCAGCTGACTCAACAGTGTGCTTTTCTTCTGATGTAGGAACGACTGCATCAGAAAGCGACTTTACTAAAGATTGAACTGACCAGCCACTCTCTGGTTTCTCAAGGTGAAGGGTATCGTTTTCGCCCTTGATGATCTCTTCACCATTCTCTTTTTCGATGATTTCTTCCAATGAAGCCAGCAACTCTGGAACAAAAGGCGGATGAACAGATGAAAGATGGAGGCGAGATAGAGACGGCACCGTGGAAGTTTCTTCGCTCACAGTCAACCCCAATTTTGATAGACATCCTTTCAAGAATCTTGTTCGCGAGTCGTCATCGGCGGCCAAATCTTTCACAAGGTCCGAGTATCCAGGAATCTTTATTGTGGGGTCCAGATTCACGGCAGCAAATCTGAGAAGCTGTAAGTATATATCCAAGCATCAAGCAAACCATGCTTACTCTGGATGCGGCCCAGTCAATATTGCCCCGCCTTCACCGACTTTGCAATAGACGACCGCTGCGGGATCTTCTCCGCCATCGACATCAACAGGATGCACATAGGTAGCAAGTGTCTCCACCCCCTGATCTTTGAATTTACCTGCATCGACGAAAACACCCCCGCCATTGTAATATGATTTAAAACTTTGAGAGGTATTTCCACTTTGAAGCGAGCCCTCAATCTTGACCTCTGCAGCCTTTGCACCCGCTTCACTGTGGTACACAAACCCTTTGTAAGCACATCCTCTACAGGTACCTGGATAGAATTGTAGTTCACGTGGCGCAACAACCTCTAGCTGTTTATTGCCGACCTCGAACTCACATCTTGAGGTACCATAGTAGCCTCCAGCACAAAATCCAAGATAGGCACCACCTCTACGCACATACTGTGAGATACGTCTATTGCCTTCTCCATTGAGGGAACGGCAGTATCCTTGATCTGCACCCCCTGGGAATACAAGAAGAGCACAAGAAGCGGTCCAAGGCTCTTTGAGAATGATATTATCACTAACAGGAATCACTGCGTAACTTGGCGATAGCAAACGCCGTAACGTATAAAGACAGTGGCGGACGGATTCAATTGTACTCCCATTGCCTATCGAAAAACTTAGAATGAGTCTCAAAAAACTGTTGATTCAGTATACCTGAGTAGACCAGGACATCCATCTTTCTTGCGACCATTTTGTCTCGACTTTATAAGCTTTTAGTCACTGGGTCACAACCGAGGCTCTACCAACAGCAAAAACTCACGTTCGATGTTCTACAAGAACTATTATAATTCTCCAAATCTCACCGAGAAGGACACACAGTACCCAAAAATGTCGAGCCAGTCAGGAAACAACCCCCCAGTTGCGACGGTTGTCCAGGATGATGATGAGCCTGATGAATGGTAAAATCTGTTGACCTCAACAACTCGGGTCTGATCACTGACTCAATTTGGCAGGGACAAACGAATCTTTAGCACTGGATGTGCGGGTAAGTCAAGATTTTTCGATCAATCGACAATAGAGAATGGAGAGATGAGTGCTGAATCAACCGCAGAAGAGAACTCGAAGATGACGGATTGCTATTTTGAAAAGAAAGATTGGAGACTGTGCAAAGCAGAGGTATGAGAAAGCTCCTCTTAGCGTTAAATCACGTGGGGACTCAATTGAGACGGCGATAGCATGGCTGACTTCTTATGAGCATACAGCTTGATACTTTTAAGAAATGTTGGAAGAAGCATCAAAATGATCAGAGGACGTCAACGAAGGATGCTTGATATGACATGGATATTGCATGGGTGGAAAGGTTGACTGGAGAGATTATCGAGGACATGAGGGGTAGAATAATTGTATGAATATGATGATTATGGTTCGTGAGAGCCAGGTGTACATTATTATAGATAACAGAATTCACTTCATGAGAATTAACAGCAGAAGTTCGCTTCAAATGGGTTTATAATTGAATTTACTCTGTTGTTGTCTAGTGTAGCTGAAAATCAGTTATTGAAGGAAAATTGGTCGTCATCTGAAGCGCGCCACATTTTCGTGATGATAAAGAAATCGCGTCTGCCAAGAACATACATACTTTCTTCACACATCGAAATGGCAGCAATTATACCTAGAGCTTCACGCTCAATAGTTACTGATGCAGCGACATCGGTATCAAGATTCTCAGCAGTATCAAAAGTTACAAGTCTGACTTGTCGATCGAGACACTTCTCCCAAAATTTTCGAAATGCGGCGATTCCAGGTTCGAGCTATACACCAAGAGCGTCGACTGCAACGAAGCCTCCCACAAGCTATGCTGCTCCTGCAACCAAACCCAAAGAATCAGAAAATGCGATAGATTCTCAATCGCCCATCAAAGATATGACAGAGGGACTTGCAGATGAACCACTGATTTTGGATGAGGGAGCTAGACAAGTTGACTGGGCGAGATCATTCCACGGATTGTCGTCGCAGCCATTCTCCAAAGAAGCTGCAGATATTTTACTTGCACCAATCCCTGCTGATGATGTGGAGGTCAAGCCAGATGGTATTATATACTTGCCAGAAATCAAATATCGAAGAATATTAAATAGGGCGTTTGGACCTGGTGGATGGGGTTTGGCACCAAGAGGGGAAACAATTGTTACGCAGAAGAGTATTACAAGAGAATATGCTCTCGTTGCTCATGGACGGTAAGTCTTTGGGGGTTATTATGATCATTTGAGTGAGCAGAGCTAATATTTTTCTCCTCTGCAGATTAGTATCCGTGGCTCGTGGTGAACAAGACTATTTCTCCCCCGAAGGTATTCCAACTGCCACCGAAGGATGCAAATCGAATGCCTTAATGCGCTGCTGCAAGGACCTCGGCGTAGCCAGTGAGCTTTGGGATCCTAGATTTATCAGGAAGTTTATGAAGCAACATGCGAAGCAAGTTTGGGGTGAACATGTGGTAACCAAAAAGAAGAAGCAATTATGGATGAGGAAGGATGACGAAGTTAGATACCCATACAAGGAGTCAAAGTTCGGCGCATAGAGGCCCGTTTTGATTATGCCACGAATGAACGACTAAAATGGAGATGCGAATGTCGAAACGTTGTATTATAGAGTATGTTTGATGTTCAAGGTAAATATCTGCATCTACATTCCGAGAAGCAGAAAGAAGAACAGTATAAAAATCTCCTATGAACCAGGCGATTGTCTTTATGTCATCTCCTCCATACACACGCTATATGTTGCATTTGATCGTTGATATTTTTCATTTATTTTTTCCACTCAGGCTGTGGATTGTATTACATGGCCTCCAGATTTCCTCCCTATCTGCTGCAAGTGCCGGCGCGTTGCATAAGTTCTTACTCGTATTGTCACCTGTTAGCTCTCCTGTCCAATCAGTCAAACAATCCAAAGGCGATGCCTCACAGGCGGTGCATCGGTAAATCTTGACTCCACAACTCTTTTTGCTCCTCAGCATTTTGAATCATTTATGATCACAGCGAACTCTACTTACCTGTATCGCACTTACCGAAGGTCCTTCAAAACTGATAGATTGATTGCATACGCCCATCGCCCTTCCCCAACTCTGGTGGTGATGTCAATGCTCGGAACCTCGTGATGGCCAGTTCAACATCTTGGTGCGGCTTATTACTGGATGACCATCAGGCCTTGATTGCCAGTCTGCTTGATAGCACTTGAAACTGAAGGACTAGCAGAAGAAGTAGCCTTTTTTAGGATCTGCGTATTGATTTTCCAATCTGGCGCTTTCGCAACCAACAAAATGAGCACAGGCAATCAATCTAAAGGGGTTTCTGTATCTATAGTAGTACTGTCGTTGAAGCGTCAGTCGGACATTCTCGAGAGATTCCAAGCTTCAATCGCGCCAAGTGATGCTGAGAAAGAGTGCCAAGCTATATATGAGGTCGTTACAGCGTCGAGCGAGGCGCTGGCCAGGAGGATTATATCAGGATGTTTCTTGGTAAAGATTGCGCCGCTCAGAGAACTCATGAACAAATTCAGGTCTTGCCGGAAGGTCGTGACGTGGTGAGAGAGATCGGGGAGGATAGTTTAAAGACCTTTGCGACGAAGAGTTCATTCTTACTCTAATGGATTTCATCAGCAAAGTTAATCAACTCGGGCCAAGAGTTCCTGAAGAAGGCTGGCAGTTTAGCATCACTACAATTGGGATCACAACATATATCTGGGGTCGATTGTTGGTTATTGGTCAGGATCTCAAAGTCAATTTCGTAGTGGCCCATCTTCATATTGGATAGGCTGTAAACAGATGTTTTCTGGAAAATCAAGATTTGATATTTTGAACCTTGAAAAAAGTATTCAGACAAGCGAATGGTTATGTATGTGTAGTCCACAATGAGTTGTTCTTTTATTTTGAACTGACAGGCAAAATTCAAGAACCCAGCAACCAATTTCCGCCCTATATGCCTGCATTTCTCTCATTATTGGGCTAGAAATAGTAGGTTCTCCCCAACTAGGATCTGGAATCGAGCACACAGTGAAGGGGCCACTTGTTGGTATTTGGGACAGACTAAGTAGATGCCAACTCGTGCACAGGTCCAAAGTGGGACGACGGTTCAAACTAGTGCTCCTTGTTCGGATTTACGGGTTTACCCTCCATATGGTTGAGGTAAACGCTACGGGATCTTTATCAGATCAAGAAACCCGTTTTTTCATCCGTCTTTTGTGTTTTCTTAACAGCCACATCTATAAAAAGGTTTTCTGACACAAAAGGGGGTGAATACCGGCTGAATTTTGACACATTATCGCGTTTGCAGTCTTCTTCAGCCCTGCCACCCTGTAATCAATTCTTTAGTCACTTTCAGCCGAAGGAACCAATAAATACGCAGCACAGTTGGCAAGCGATGGCTCTAATTTTATTTCTCATTGCTGCTTTACTAATATTGTCAGTGCCAGCCTTGCCAATCAAGGGCAATACTCCATTCAAGCTTACCTAGGATCATGGCCCCACGAGATAACAATCCTTCCACTCAGAGGTGTTTACTTGGCGCAAGGAATTCAACAGGTTCTTCAAACTGTCGCGCTCTCTAACTATAGCGTATCACGAATTGGCTATGGAGACTCGATATCCCCATGTGGATACAGGGGTCCAAGGAGAGTGGTGTTTTGGGGATGGTGCTTTGAGGGTGGGTGAAGGCCAGTAGCGCACTCTATTTCGTAAATGCATCAGATCTCCAGCGCCTTGCGTTTTCTAGATTTCTTGCGACCGCTTTCTACTCTTCTTCGCGCAACAATTGATGAAGCTAGTGATCAATGTCAACTCCAACTTCGCGTTACCCAGCTGCTGAGGGGACAGCCGGTGTGGTGACTACTTGGTTACCTCTAACTACTGTCTATCCCAATGTGCCTAGCTGCAAAACCGAATTGTATTCTCCCAACAATCTCACGCACATCTACGCCTACGATCCTAACCAGAATGCCCTTACTTTCGCGACAAAGTGCTGGCCTTCGGAAGCAAGATCATGGTGGAATCAAGACACCTCTGCAGCAGCGATCACCTCACTAGGGCCATTTCTATGCCCAGAAGCCTATACCGTGGCCGTTACCACCGTTGTAAACTCAGGTTCTACACTGAGTGGATGTTGTCCTAGCGGTTATGCTCTGTGGTCTTTAATGTCTCAACCCTATCCCGGCGAATGCACATCGACCATCACCTCCGGAGCCACGATTACATATGTTAGTAGTTGGACACCCGCCGCAGATGGGTATACGACGATCACTGCCGTGTTGGATAGTGACCATGCGGTTCAGGCTGTTCAGATCAATGGATACAATTTCGATGGCAATTCTGCAGTTCCAACAGTGACGGCTTTCAGTTCGAGTACGAGTTCGAGTTCGACATCTGCATCGGCCTCCAAATCCGAAACCGCAGCCTCTAGCTCTACTCCCAGCTCATCTGGAGCTGCAGCTACGTCCACATTGGCAGTTTCTTCATCCTCAACTATTGATAGTAGTAATAGTAGTTCAGGAGTTGGTACCGGAGCGAAGATCGGTATCGCTGTCGGGATCGCCGTTGGTGTAGTTGCCATTGCTGCTCTTATTGGGACTATATTTTTTATGAGGAGGCGGAAGAGATACGATACAGCGCCACAGCAGGATAGTCCTTACGCGGCTTCCCAGATAAAAATGAACCAAGTCGCTTCTCTTCCATCTTCGCCTGGATCTGACATTCCGCATGAGATTGGCAATGGATATGGATATGAGGCGCACGAGGTTGGCAATACGCAGGTACACGAAATGAATGGATCGACTTTCGCTGAGCTCGATGGAAATAATAGACGCTGATATCGAATTTGATGGTATATATGGGTGTTGATTGCATAGTGAAGGCGTTCTTGGCATGTTGGGCATTTTAGCGACCATAAGTTTCTGGGCGAGGTTCTTGTCCCCGACTTTAGAGATGATTAATCGCGTATTTCTCACGTTGTATAATAAACTTTATAAGAAACGCGTTGTATTTAATTATTCATATAGATTGTTACCCAAAATCGGCTTCCGAGTGTATCTTTTCCCCCTCTTCCCCCCTTTTCTTGTTTTTAACATTTCAAAAAAAGCGAACCTAGGGTTGGATATCTATATGCACACATCTTTAGAAGGTCCCCATCTACAATTCTGTGTATTTCGCTATCTCGATGCGTATTTACTGCTAACTAGACATATTGATTCTTTAGAGAGTGTGCAACTGTTACCAGCCCCCAAGGTCGTATGTACATCCATGAAGGCATCAACTGTGCCGAATAGCAAAGTAAACTGTGTCTAAATCCTTAAAAAATCCCAAGCAACCACCTCGCCTTCCTCTTCCCCAATGAACGCAAAGCCTCCAGTCTCCCCTTCACCAATTTTCGCCAGAGTTCCCCCTTTGATCCCCACTTTCCACAACCTTTCCCAATGCGTCATTAGCAAATAATGTCCTCCCTCTGGTATAGGTCTTGTAGTAAATCTCTCCCATCCATCGGCCACGCTTGCAGTACAAACTATTTCACCCCAGAAATTGTGTCCAAGAAAACAACCGGAAGCGGTGTTCTGAAAATGGAGCCATCCTTTGATTTCGGTGCATTTCCACTATCATCGAGAATTAGTTCAGCGTGAGATGATGGAAATGAGGACTGGGGAGACGTTTACTTACGCGGACGCCGGGGTTCCTTCCAGATTGTGGGCCAACTAAAGTGATACCGCCCGAGTTTGAAGCGAGGAATTTTCCAGATGAGGACGCGCGGATTGCGTAGGTAAAGTTGGGCCAAGGGTTTGAGCTTGAGTCATCAGAGCTTCCATGAGAGCGTCGATTAGAGATGACGGTAGAGCTAGGTGTGTAAATGGTAGATGTGATTGTAGCGGTAGTTCTAACTGTGGCAATATCAGAGCCGGGAGAAAGGGCTGGACCAGTCATCATAACTTTAACGTAAGTAAAAGCCAGAGGAACGATCAAGAGTACGGCAAGAACATTGCCAAATGTGATATATTCCGTAATACCTCCTGCCCTTGGCGCAGTGTGACTTCTGTTGGGAGTGTCCGAGGGATGGGTTCGAGCTGCTGAGGTTGAGCTGATGTCATCGTCACTGGAAATGCTTGGGGTAGAGTTGGGAGGCATGTTTGTATTCTGACAATCGAGAGGCTTGTACTTCATATCGACTTATAATCTGATTTCAGCGTTTTGTTCTTCGAGAAAAATTGAAGTTGTACTTTGAAAGTGATTATGTATCTGTGATATAGCCGCCTGTGACCCCGCATGCAGAGCCAATCACTTTTTTCTGTGCCACTCCCTGCCTTGAAAAGGTGAAAGAAAACCATCCAATGCGCAAACAGCGATAGGCTTTTGTGAGCTTCTGTTTGTTTCCGTGGAACTAGTTTGCTGGCTTGTGTTTCAGAGGCCAAAAAGAAACTCGACACCACATGCGATTCGGTAACCAAGCCTCAGATATAAATATGTATATCAGCGTTTGTGGCAGTTCAGGTCTAATGCTGAAATATACCAAAGTTGGAACCAGCTACACATTATCGATTTCAACGTACATAGATGATGAATCGAGGCAGAATCTTGAAATCATGACAGGTACGGCCATACTTATAGTTGTTTCAGGAATCACCGCGATCACCACTCTTATGTCACACTCACTACAGACAGCAACAGTAGGGATGTCCTATATATCCCCGGTTGCCCTCTTGGGAAAGTTCTCAAACGGTCACCCTAAATGGTATCTCAACATCGAAAGCAATTCAGCGCTGGCCAACCCTTTCTAATTCGACAACAAGAACGAGGTTTGCGAGATCGATGAGAGCGATATGCGGGCCTTCAAAAGGACAGGTTGAGTGATAGGTTGATGATGAATCTCTCAAGGGAACCTTGAGTGGCCATTGAGTTCTTACAGGACCTCATTAAAAGAGTGCATCATCTGTATACTTCGTGATTGTGAGATAGATGTGATGAAGCTTTGCTGCTCACTGGAGCACTGTTAACTGGCACCACATGAACCATCTCCAATAGACAAAACGAGATGTACTGAGACAATAACAGACCATGCCTTCAGTTAAGCAATAGTTTAAATACAGCCAAATCCCAGATTATAGTTCCAATAACAACATTTTCCAAGATGTTGTTCTTCATTGATGAGAATCCAAATATATATTGTGGCTAATTCCCTGGCTTACTCAGCCGTCCCTTGTTAACAATAAACCGTATGTAGGTAAAGACACCTCTCAACAGCAGCACAATCCAATGACCACGATCAAATCCTCATAATCAATCTAGTAACTCGCATTGCAAAGTTCCCGCATCACAATTGCCACATGCGCAACCTTCCCATCGACACCTCCACAAAGATACGAAACATACCACTTTGCGCCCCAGAGCTACACCAGCTCGCACCCTCTCAAACCTCCGAGCCAAATATTCACAACGCACCTCACCCTTCCAATTCCTTACTCCAAGATGGCTCAATACTTTCTCGATCTATTATATACCCTCACAAACTGCATGAGTTGTTTTCCGGGCTCTCCGCAGCTCAAAATAAATAATCGCAGTTTCAAGATATTACGATTGCTGGGCGAGGGCGGATTTTCCTACGTCTACCTCGTCCAAGATACCAGCAGTGACAATACCTACGCCGTGAAGAAAATCCGATGTCCATTCGGTCAAGAATCCGTGGCACTCGCCATGAAAGAAGTAGAAGCTTATGCGCTCTTCTCGCCGCATCCAAATATCATACACAGCGTGGATTACTGTGTCTCTGCAGATCGATCAGATCCCGGAGCGAAGACCGTGTATATCCTGCTACCATATTATCGACGCGGAAACTTACAAGATATCATCAATGCGAATCTGGTGAACCATACGAAATTTCCAGAGAAGAGACTGATGGTTTTGTTTTTGGGAGTTCTGAATGCACTGAAGGCTATGCATCAGTATAAGGTCAGAGGAGGACCAGGTGGTGCGAATAGTGTGAACAAGGCGAAGAAAGTAAGGGCGGATGCGGCGCAGGCAGATCAGGAAGCTGAAGAGGAAGTGGAATCGAGGAGGGGAAGACAGAGAGGGAGAGAAACCGATGAGGATAGCGAACAGCAGGAACCACTTATGGATGGGGAAGTTACAATGAGTCAAGAGGGTATTGCGCCAGGAGGAGCTAGGGCATATGCGCACAGGGATATTAAACCAGGTACGTCAAATGGAGAACTCAATGCGTGAAGCTATCTAACGCCAAAATAGGAAACATCATGATTGACGACGACGGCGTCCAACCTATTCTAATGGATCTCGGTTCCCTAGCTCCCTCACCCACACCAATAACATCCCGATCACTCGCTCTAGCAGTACAAGACCAAGCAGCCGAGCACTCCACCATGCCTTATCGCGCCCCCGAACTCTTCGACGTAAAAACAGGCAGTACTATCGACACCAAAGTCGATATTTGGTCGCTAGGTTGCACGCTATACGCATGTCTTGTAGGAAAATCTCCCTTCGAAATGCGCAGCGATGAGACAGGAGGAAGTCTGAGCATTTGCGTATTGGGAGGCGATTGGCGATTTCCCGACGAAGGAGCCGGTGGAAAGAAGAAAACCACGAACCAGACGGGACAAAGTGAAGATAGTGGTATTAGCGAAAGTATACGGGAAGTGGTGCGGAAATGTTTGAAGGTGGAACCCAGTGAGAGACCAGATGTGGATGAATTGATGGAGATTGTACGGGGGGTGATTGAGGAGTTGCCTGAGGATGGCCCTTCATGATTATGAATGGGATAGAGTGAGACAAATGAATATAGGATATGATAGGACAGGACAGGATGGAACATGGTTTGGTTCAATTCGCCTTGTATGATGTCTTTGGGAAGGAAATAACTGAGGACGAGGATTAAACGAGGCGTTAAAAGGGGGCGGGGAAAGCAGTGCTGCCCAAGGCGATGAATAATGAAGAGTTGAGGATGGTTTCAACTCACCAGCCTAAAAGTCAAGTCGCGTAATGCAATAGATGTGTGTTTTCGTGATCTACAATGTCTATAGTTAACACATTGACTCTATCTTGGCAATATAATCAAATTTTGTAAGAACATATCACCCGAGTCTAGTTTAGATTCCATCTTCGATTCTGGATGTTACCACCTCACTTATTCAGACGGACATGGATCTTGAACATATTTTTTCACAGTAAGAAACGAGGTATGATATCCAAGTAAGGATTAATTGAGATTTGTATGGTATTATTAGCGCGGCGAGGCACATATGCTATTGTATTCCAGCATCTCAAGCTCCAGTTCTACGTGTTGGCTACTTTTTCAATAAAACCCCATCATCTTCTCTCCATAACATCCGAGCATGCAACTTTGACAGTGACTGACTGCTATTACCTTCCCACATCCACAAAGTAGGTATCACCATTACAAGCCAGCATTCCCTTCCAAAAAGCCCAGCAAGCGGGCAGCCATCTTACAACTCATCATCATTCGACAACTGAGATTCCAAAGTCTTTCTTCTCTTCTGATGCGATGCATCCACCTCGCCATGATCCATACCAGCATCATGACCACCTCTCTTCCCACTCGTACCTCCACTTCCAGCAATCAACCCAGCAGCCAGCAATCCCTCTCCCACATCAGAAAATCCACACAAAACCTCCACGAATCCATCTTTCGTAGTTCGGGATTGGTATTCCTTTTGCAACTGCTTGAGCAAGGCGTCGCGATCCTTCTCATTCAAAAGCCCTCGGATGAATCTTGCAATGAACTCGAATCGAGACTTGCGTGATTTAATTGCCTGGTGACGTTCTGTTGCGTGAGCTAGATAGTCTTCGATAGTTTGATATGGGGTCTGCGATATATTGATCCATGAAGGGGGGCGGGCAGCTTTGCGAGATGTCGCATTTGGTAATGGCTTGCTTAGCAATGGTGGGATTATCTTCTTTGTCGGTGTAGTAGCTGGGAGTGGTAGTCGAGGGGGAGGAGGCGGGCTCATTGGGCCATCATGCGCGAGTGGTGATATTGCTTGACTTGATTGGCGTCTATTTGGCGTACGAGGGTTGCGATCAAGAAGGCATGTATTGATTTCTGGCGACAATGCTGAAACGGACTGTGAAATTGGTTGGAGCTGCTCTGCAGATGTAGCTGGTAAACCTATTATCATCAGTCTCACTCTCACATTCGCAACCCCATCACCAGCACAGACTCACACATCAATCCACTCGCACTCTCCATCTTCTCCTTCAAACTCGTCACTTCACCCTCCCACTCTCGCTTCATCTGCATCCAAGCTCTCGACTCATCTTCCAGCTTCTCCAATCGACTTTCAGTGTCCTTCAATTGCTTTTGTGATTCTTCAAATCGTCGTTCTGCATCTGCAGATGCCTTATCTACTTTAGTTCTTAAATCCTCCAAGAGGGTAAAAAGAGAACGATGTTCCTTTCGGAATTGTAAATTGACTATGCTTTGAACGCCATTTACAGCTCCTTGACTCAAACCAACGCGTTTGAGAGGTGACTTCGCGGATACCGCTGCCATAGTAAAGACACAAGAATGACTTATTTAAAGAATGATTAAACGCCAGTAGATATATGATGTTATAACAATAAACCCAGTACGCTACGTACTACACAAGAACCATGATTATTATGCATGAGAAAATTGATGATGGCGTGTCGGTGAAAGGTGAAGGTGCGACTTGAGCCTCTCCAAGATCCTACTCAGGTTAGCGAGCTCGCCGCCTGCGCTTGTGACACGACACCATTGGAAAAAAAATGAGCGACGGTGATATAATGAATGGGCGACTTTCAAAAGAGAACATGCAGACATCACTGAAACGTTTGTCTATTTTTATTCAATTTTTATTTTTATTTTTGCCGGGATCTATGGAAAATGATCTCAGCATCTATCATCAATCGTACTACATCGAATGGACCAGTCTTGAGCCAACTGTAGGTAGATCTGAGTAGACATAGAGGTCGTGAGACAACCGATGAGGAATCCCTAAATACAGAGACTAAAAAGCAAAGAAGAACCCCCCAAACCTCTAATGCCATAAAATACGCAAGAAATAATCCAGCTGCACGAACCAATGCAGCAACTTTTATGCTACCCATTGACCAAATCCTCACGCGCCGGGCGAACCAGCTACGCTCACTATCACTGCCCTTACAAAGGGGGTTCCGATGCTGTGGTCCTTTTATAGACATTCACGCCCGAGAACTCGTGATTTACCAAATTGTGTATTAAAAGAAAATTAAGCTTAGATGAGATCAGCAACGTTCATTGGCATCTCCTCGATTTGAGTGCTGTAGAACTGCTCGATTTCTCTCATCATGCGGACATCATCAGCGGTGACGAAGTTGATGGCAACACCCTTACGTCCGAAACGTCCTCCACGACCGATACGATGGATGTAGTTCTCACGGTTGGCTGGGAGATCGTAGTTGATGACCAAGGAAACTTGTTGAACATCGATACCACGGGCCAAAAGATCAGTGGCGATCAAGACACGGGATGAACCGGAACGGAACTCCTTCATAATCAAGTCACGTTGACCTTGGTCCATGTCACCGTGCATGGCGGAGACGGTGAAATCACGGGCAGTGAGTTTGTCAGTCAACCAGTCGACCTTTCTTCTGGTGTTGCAGAAGATGACTGCTTGTGTGATGGTGACGGTCTCGTACAAATCGGAAAGGGTGTCCAACTTCCAGTCTTCCTTCTCAACAGCGATGTAGAATTGCTTAATACCTTCGAGGGTAAGTTCGGCCTTCTTAACCAAGATACGGACGGGGTCACGCATGAACTTGGTGGTGACCTCAAGGACGTCTTGTGGCATGGTGGCGGAGAGGAGGACAACTTGGGTGGATTGAGGAAGGAGTTGGAAGATGTCGTAGATTTGCTCGGTGAAACCACGCTTGAAGGATTGTTAGTCAAATTGTTCCCAAGTAAAACTGAGCGATTCTAAACTTACGGAAAGCATCTCATCGGCCTCATCAAGAACGAACATCTTCATGGAGTCGGTCTTCAAGAAACGTCTTTGGATCATGTCGTGGACACGACCTGGGGTACCAACAACGACTTGAGGACCATCTTGAAGGGCCTTCATGTCATCACGAACACTGGTACCACCAATGCATGCGTGGCACTCAACGTTCATGAAGTCACCGATGGCGACAACGACCTTTTGGATTTGTTGAGCCAACTCACGGGTTGGTGCAAGGATCAAAGCCTGGCATTGCTTAACGTTGGGGTCAAGCTTTTGGAGGACGGAGATGGAGAAAGTGGCGGTCTTTCCGGTACCAGATTGAGCCTGGGCAATAACGTCATGGCCTTTTGTAATTTATTAGAGATGCTGAAAAAGAAGTCGCATATTTGATGCACTCACCCTTGATGACTGGCATAATAGCACGTTGTTGGATAGCGGATGGACGCTCGAAACCGTAAGCGTAGACACCTGTAGTCCCCTGTTAAATTTGCCCCTCCAGATATGTTTGTCCATGGATTTTTTAAAAAGAAATCGTACCTCGGAGAAGCTCTGGCTTCAAGTTCATGGTATCGAAAGAGTCGACGGTCTCGTCATAGTTGGACTCGATTTGTCCTGCAAGAAACAACAGTGGTCAGTCTTCTTATTTCTATTGATGGTTTTTCATCTTTTCCCACAATGCGATCTTGCATGATCCATCTTCCGAACATCTTCAGAATATCGGTGTAACTCACCCTCTTGGATCTCCTCGAGACCCTTATCAGCGGAAGCCATATTTGCGGGTTGTTTGAAGTAAAATCTAGATTACAAGCTCTTGCTTGAAATCTAGAAAATGATAAGGTTGGTGGGTGGAGGTGGGGTGAAAAAATGCGCAAAGTACTCTTAAAGAGACTGCGACGTGAAGCTCTTGATGATTTGGGAGGGAAAACTAGATAACAACTCCCGAGAACGAGAGTTTAATGTATATCTAGTGATTTTGATTGTTTGATTGTGTTTGTAAAAGTTGTGGTTTGGAGAGAAAAAAAGGAAGGGGAAAAAGAGGAAGGAGGGCTCTGATATTCTAAAAAGTTTTTTGGGGAAAGTCTCGCTTATTTTTTTTGTCCCGCTACTATTAGTCTCGAGCCAGTCACCAGTAGTGAAGTAGGGAGATGGAGATGTGTACCAAGGTAGGTAATAGATAAAATAGGGATCAAAAAAAGCAACCAACTACTTTGATCAGGCTGGATTAGGAAGTACTTGCTGGTTGGGTACATGCAATATGAGGAAATCAATAATGGTTGGAAAAGGTTCATCCAATCAACATTCTTTATATGCGTTTGTTTCGGATTCTCTCAAGGAGACTCCGACTTGTTACCTATCTGGGTATCTTTTTAGATCTGGATTAGATCTGGATTAGATACTGTTCACTATCTGGAGATGCTCTCGAATAGAGTATGAATGAGTGAATGAACGAACGAATTCAAACATTGACTCGTAGAGGACCAGACATCATAGACATTGACTGGATGCCCATTACATATTCAATCAGGTATCATGGATCCATGGCTACAGCTGCAGTAACAGACAGTTAAACAGTCTCAGACAGTACAGTGCAGTGCCACTTCACCAGCCACCTTTGAACTGTTAAAGTGGCGATCCACCCCCTCCATCTTTTTTGCTCCACGGACCACTCACAGTATGGTGAAGAGAAAAAAAATATGTTATATACATTTGATTCTAAAAGAGACAAAATATAATATAATTCACCCCTTCTCCTTCTCCTTCTCCTTCTCCCTCTCCCGCTCTCTCTCTCGCTCTCTCTCCTTTTCCTCCTCCTCCCCTACTTCATACATATCCGTACACATCCATACACATCCATACATATCCCTGGTACACTTTATTCCTAAAAGTCTCAACTTGCATATTGTACCTTTATTACTTCCACTTCCACTTCCAAACTTTGATATCAACCATGAAATCCGCATCAAATCTAGATTTTTCAACTCCCATACAGCCTAGTGGCAATAGTACCACTACTATACCAGTATTCGAGTCAGCAGAGATCGAAGAGTCATCTGTTTCCATCCCACCTCATCCTTTAGGCGTAAAGCCTTCAGGGAATCAATATACAGCCACCAGCAATGCTCGTTACGCCATTGGATCTTTTCAGATCTTGCCGGATGAAGTTGTGGCCATATTATTAGAATCTCTGGACCCTGAATTGTTAGCCTTGCTGGGTTCGACTTGCAAATTTTTATATGCATTCACTCGATCTGAGGAACTTTGGAAACCTTTATTTATTGAGTGAGTAATTTTGATTCTCTTTTTTCATTCTGTTTTATTGAATTGTATTAAATGAGACGCCGTTTCTGTTTTGGTAAGTTGGAGTCATGGTAGAGAAAGACAATAGGAGTCATTCCTTTGAAACTACTAGCGTTTGGATATCCAAAAAGATGACTCTTTGTCATATTTCGAACAGGGGAAATAGTTTTTAGGAAGGATTTTCATCAACTCCTTGGTCATTGGCGAGTTTTTTAAAAGAGGAAGGATCATTTGTATTTTCTATCAAAGCAATAGTGGGGATTATCCACCATTCATGTAGTTGGGATAGTGTGTATCCATAGAAGTCACTTAACAATCGATGGCTCCAACACATCAAGTGATATCTTTGAAGGTTCGAATATGTTTACAGCCAGGGAGATTATGATACATCAAGTGGCATTTTACAAAGATCTCAAGACCTTTAGCTGGGAAAATCATATAGAGCAACTAAAATATACCTTGTCACCCTTTAACCACAAATATCTGCACTCATATACTACCAACACTCACCCAATCTGACTGCTAACTAAAACATAGGTCCCCAACATCAAAATCAGGTACCTTTACGTGGCGAGGTTCATGGCGTGCAACATTCCTCAATATAGAAGAAAGCCAGCTCTCAAAAATTCAATGTAACAATGTCTTCTCCGACGTCTTGTACCGACCATTCCTCTGCACCCACACCCCCTAACCCCCTACACAACCAACATCCCTCCCAAGAACCAAATTCCCCGCCTCGAAAACCTCACTCCTGAAGAATTCACCTCAACCTGGAGCGATAAACCCTTCATCCTCACTGCCCCAGTGAGAGAATGGCCTGCCTATCATTCCTGGGACACCGACGTTCTCCTCCACCAATACAGCGATACCAAATTCCGCGCTGAAGCCGTCGACTGGTCTCTCAAGACCTACATCCAATACATGAACCACAGCGCCGACGAATCTCCCCTCTACCTCTTCGACCGCGATTTCCTCTCCAAAATGAACCTCTCCACCCCCAAAGCCAGCTCAACCTCGCCCTACCAAATCCCCTCCTGTTTCGGCGAAGATCTCTTCCAGGTCCTCGGCCCCAACCGTCCCGACGACAAATGGCTCATCATCGGCCCCGCCCGCTCCGGCTCAACCTACCACAAAGATCCCAACGCCACTTCCGCCTGGAACGCCGTTCTCCGCGGCTCAAAATACTGGATCATGTTTCCCTCCACCCCTTCTTCACCTCCCCCACCCGGTGTATACGTTAGCTCCGATCAATCCGAAGTCACATCCCCCCTTTCCATCGCTGAATGGCTCCTAGGTTTCCACTCTGAGGCGCGTCGCACGCCCGGATGTATAGAAGGCGTGTGTGCTGCTGGGGAAGTCCTGCATGTACCCAGCGGATGGTGGCATTTAGTAGTTAATCTGGATGCCAGCATAGCTATAACTCAGAATTTTGTGCCGCGCGCGCATTTGGTGGGTGTGTTGGCCTTTTTGAAGGACAAAGCGGATCAGGTTTCGGGGTTTAAGAAAGAGGTGACGGATCCGTACACGATGTTTGTGGAGGGCATGAAGAGGGAGTATCCTGAGTTACTGGATGAGGCCATGGGAGAGCTAGAGAGGAAAGCGGAAGGAAGGAAGAGGAAGTGGGATGAGGCTGTTGCGACTGGGAATGGGGATGAGGAGGCTGGGGGATTTAGTTTTGGATTTGGTGGGGACAGTGATGAGGAGGTGCCTTGAATTCCTTAATCTTCTAAGCTGATTTAATCATATCTTGAATACAGGAATGTAGGCAAGTATAAAGAGTGTAAAAATTCGCTATTGGCATCCCTTCTTGATATATCCCGAAATCCAGTGTATCCAGCTCTTGAAGATTCATATGCAAACCGATACTCCCCAGTTCTGGAATTGATCACTTCCCATGTAGCGGCAGATTCCTTCGAGACTCCATAGGCATCTTAACATATACCAGCTGATTCCTCTTTTCAAGTTTCCCAGAACGCCTCCCATACTCCCGATCCCCAATTTCTCCATTCCGAGAATCCGATTTAAACTCCCAATTCCTCATTATCAATTTCAACTTCCCAATCCCAATTCCAAAATGTAACAATCACAACACAACATTCCCATTTAAGCCATCCATCTCCTATTTTCTCGCAGCCCCGAAATTAGTCCTCGCCTTCTTATTCCCCGTATTTTCCCTCGTATCTGTTTCACTATCGTCACCCCCCGCCATCTTCTTATTCTTTTTCCCTTTTCCCGAAGAAGTAGACGTAGGCGTCGCATGATTCGATGCGCCGTCGCCATTCTTTGGAAAACTCATTGACAAGGGCGTCGGTGCCATGGCTGCAACTGGTGTTGAAGCTCCCGAAGGTAATGGGGAATCCTATTCCGAGGTTTCTGTTAGTCTCTCATTCAATTGCCTCCGAGTTTCCCCAGCTTCCGGACTCTATGCACAGCATGCGCATTTGTCCGAATTCCTGCATCACCCATTGTCTCTGCAACCTTGCCATCACAACAAACAATCCTTTGAATAAAACAGCTCAACTCACAACATTGACCTTCCAGCTATGCGAACTCCCACTAAATGGTCTATCCGTCCCTCCCACCGCCGTACTCTTTCTCCCCGTTCCAGCACCTCTTCCCACTCCTCCCACACTCGCACCTTTCGCGTACCCATCAAATCCAGTTATGATATTTCCCTGCGGCGTCTCATCCAGATATTCCGTCTCCTTTCTAAAAATTGCCTCCTCACTGAGCGCCAAAACTCGCTCGAGATTCTTCTTTTGCTCTAATAATTGTTTAAGCTTTCGTCGCGTTTCGTCGTAATAAGGAAGGCCTGCCGTCGGATCCGCCGTGCGGTTTTCCTTCGAGGCGGTACCAAGAGCTGTAGAAGGTTTATTCGAGTCCATACTGGCTGATTGATGAGTTGCGCGAGGTAGCTGAGATATGATTGTATAATGGTTTGGGTCCCGAAAAAGGAGCAGGAAGCTTGGGCAAGGGATACAGAATGGAAAATGACGCACGGACTGAGAGCTTTTTTGGTCTTATCCGCTTATCGAAGCTGCGGGTTGGGATAGGGCTGAAGATTAATCAGTAATAAAAAATGTCTGGAGCTCCGCGTTCAACTTTCATCCAGTTTCCTTGGGCTAGACTCTTATAGAGGTCTGTCAAATACACATATTGAATCGACTCGAATTGGACTGAATTGTCCAGCTGCAATGTGGATCATTGACCTACCTTGTGTCATCCAAGTTCGAACAGCAATCATCTGAAGTATGAAAAAAGTATGGGACAGGTTAATTCTTGAAGGTTGAAATTGGTTGTAGCATCACGTTTTGCAGGTAGAACTCATGTTGTAAATATATTTCCTTTTATGTGCCAGTATAACCCTATTGCCATGGCCCTTGTATGCCTGAATCGATTGATATGTTCCTCAATGAGCGTTAGCATGAGTTATTGAATGTTCGGTGGAACTCGAAGTTCTCATCTTCTTAATCTTTTCCCTTAACAATTTTTCTCGCAATTCGGCGGCTAACTTCTGCGGATCTTTTCTCAAATTCTGATGCCAAAAGGACGGGTCAGCGAGATAACGAACGTAAACTTAGTCGGGTTTTCTTTCGATACAAATGAGATTATCCCCTTGCCTTATGAATCACTACCTACCTGTGCAGGTTCGGCAGATCCAGCTGTTTTATTGGCTTCGACGTCTCGAGTTGGTGATCCCCTGTCACTTTTTTCTTCAGTATCAGCCCTCTTACTTCTTCCATCCTCTTCATCTGAAGAACTATTCCTTCTTCTTCGGCTTGTGGGTTCATATCTTTGCAGAGAACGACGTCTCTTTCCATTATCATTCCTTCCATTACGGGCTTCATCCTTCGAAGAATCCCTGCGACGTCTAGTAGGGGGAGAAGCGCTCCGGCTAATGCTTCGCGATAGTCGCCTCACATCGCGACTGCCTCGTCTATCTTTTCTGACAGGACTTGAGGGTGAGACAGTTCTCTTCCGTGGGGTTGAGCTTCGGCTTAATGAGGGAGATGAGGAGCGAGATCTAGATCTAGAACTCGTGTTGCGACGACGGTATCTGCGAGACTTTGGAGGTGGGGAACGACTCAAGGATTCTGTTGAAGCTCTTCTCCGCTTTCGAGGTGGAGAGCGTGATTTTGAGGTCGAAGGAGATCTACGGCGTGGTCTTCTCTCTGGGCTTCTCGCGCGTCCCCTACCGCCCCTCCCACGATTGCGCCTTTCTGGCGATCTAGACCTGCGCCTACGAGGTGATGGTGACCTAGATTCTGAAGCTGACCGACTGCGTCGTCTTGGTGGAGATCGTGATGGGGACTTTGATCTTGAAGGCGACCTAGAGCGTGATAAAGATGGTCTTCGCCTTTCGTCTCGTCTATCACGAGTTGCGGGAACGTAAGTGTCGCTTCGAGGTGGTAGGACATAGACTCTATTGTCTCGCGCTCCGCGTGGCGACCTCGAATATCTTGGACCTCTTCGATCGAACCCTCTGCCACCACTTCGATCAAAATCTCGATCCCCGCGACCACCGCGCCAGCTATCTCCTCCTCCTCGCCCACGTCCGCCGCGATCGCCTCGTTCGCGATCTCTTATTGCGTGCATTTCGCGGTCTCTCCGTTCACCGTCTTCTCGACGCCGACGTGCATCATCTGCAGCTTGCTCGGCTTGTATCTGAACAAATGTTAGTGAGTAATCCCTATAACTTTCTGGAGTATTTAAACCTTTTCCTGTATAAGTTCTAACTTTTTCGCCTCAAGAAGTTCTTTGGGAACACCTTGGGGACTGGCCTGCGCACTGAGACAAAGTTTCCATAACTCCTTGCAAAACCCCGGTGTATCTTTGTCGAGAAACCCGGTAAGTGATATTTGTAACTTTTTGATATCCGGCTGCAGTCAACATTAGATTGGTGTGTGTTAAATTATTCACATGATACCTACATATCGTGAACCCTCAATGAGATTAAAGCACAGTTCAATGACAACATCATCTTCGGCTCCCAATATATCTGATATCTTTCCTGCGATCCATCTATGTTGCACAATAAGGTCAGCTTGCTGTTCCCTTGGTCTGGTATTCCCAAGCTCGTTTGAACGTACTTTTTCATTACCTCCAAATTAACCTTCTGAAAGTCGACTTTCTGATTGAATTCGGGTGGGAACTTGGTCGACTTCAGCAGCTTCGCATCGACGGAAGTCATGGCGACGGCTGTTAGAGGCTATTGATACTAGGATAAGATGTGGTTGGGTGTATTATACAAAGTAATTGGAGTCGAGAATTGAGCTCGCAAGATAATAAAATACCCTAGTAAATAAAGCGCGTTCTACCGCACATCGTCACACAGCATGACTCGCTTACGTAAGCATCTATTGCACCAAATGACTCGTTGCAAATATCGAAATGTTCTGCAAAGCAAAGTAAAATAAATGGAAACGATGGTGATCGGTTTTCTCCACAATGTTGGCTAGTGTTATATGATCATCTTTGCATTTTCAAATGCATGCCATAGTCCCTGTTGAAAGATGATTATTACCTAGGTCGAGCCATGAAGCTTGAGACAGATAGGGCCGCAGGATCTTTTCAGGATTTCTACTCTTTTCGTATAAACCCAACAACGCTCTATTCCAGGTAGAACCGGAAGGTACCTAAGTAGCTCCAGATGCTCCTATCATTCTTGGCAGGAGACAAGAGAGTCTGTTCTAAGACTGCAATGAAAGTAAAAGAGTAGGACGTAGGAGGGGAGGGGAAGTGTCCTCGCCATGCCTTTAGTATACAATTGTGAACAGTTTAGATCGTTCACACAGTTTTTCTTTAGCATTGCATAGTCTTGTGGTATCAAGGCCTCTGGTAGCCACCCCAATGGCAGTTTCAAGTGTTCATATCAATTGCCTTGGGCTCTTCTTCAAATAGCAGACAAGTATGCGAGGTTGCCAATTTCAGAAATGATGCTTGAGGGAGAAATTCATAGTAGATTTCGAAGTATAGGAACACGTATGTAGAGTTTTCTTATTCTGGACTTGCGAAGTAGATGCTCATAGATGAATCTGCTGGTCTGAAAGGGTTATGTTCAGGATTCAGAACTGTCGCAGCAGACTATGTTGATCAACGTCTAAGCTAAATTCAAGAGACATGTTAACTTTCCGTTTATCTAAACATCTTCTAATGTGTTTCTTGATCAATGCTTGCTCACTTTGTTTGCCGCGTATCATATGCACACACCTACATTTCTACCCGATGATACTCCCCTAAAGGATTTTTCAGACTGTACCTGCTCAACACAAGTTCTTCCGCGCTGTAATACTCTTCCAACTAAGCGTTTTTGGTATTTTGTCATAAATTCAAAGTTGTTATGAATCAAATATGAATATATGAACGTCCTGTGATTAGCAAAATGAGACTGTTGTAGTAATCTTTGTATTGATTTGACACATCTCTTCGGCTTTTGTAACTCTAAATTCGAGCTCGTAATCAACATGACACGTTTTGATAATTGCAACATCCAAAGACATTTGTACATTCTCCGATCAGGAACCAATCCGCTATGATCATTCCACATTTTCCAACTCTCAAGAGTCAAGACCGAACGGTCTGAAGGGCAAAGGCGATAGACATAATGCTATGTCTATCCCTCCAACCCAATGCTTAATGAACACATGAAATAGAATACCGTTCTAATACCGTGAACACCACCAAATCTTGCAAAACACCCATCTTCCAAATTC